TGAATTCTGATTTTTGTTTTTGAGGTGAAAATGGAGATTTCGGAGAGAGTGAAAGCTCGATTAGCTATTCTATCTGCGCATTTGGCGGTGTCTGATTCCGTCGGATTGGAACAGGTGTTACCGGCGATCGAGCCATGGTGCACATCGGCTCACACCAGTGCTCCGCCGAATGGATCGGTGCTTAAAGGAAGCTTGACGATCGTCGATGAACGTACGGGAAAGAAATATCAGATTCCGGTATCAGAGGATGGTACCGTAAAATCCGTTGATCTCAAGAAGGTATATAATGGATCGTAAATTCTGAAATCGAGTATAATGAGCATACGTAATTGATCTGAATTTCGATCCGTCTTGTTTGTTTCTTCTCCGAAATGAGAAGGAATTTGATGTCAGATTATGGGTGGGTTTGTTGTATATTGAAGGATTTATATGTTTGGTGTGTAGATAACGACGGGGAAAGATGACAAGGGGCTTAAATTATACGATCCTGGTTACTTGAACACGGCTCCTGTTCGATCTTCGATTTGTTACATCGACGGAGATGAAGGAATCCTAAGGTATCGAGGATACCCAATTGAAGAGTTGGCTGAGAGCAGCACTTTCATTGAGGTTGCTTATCTCCTCAGTAAGTACTTGTTGTTGTTGCTTAATTTCCTTTGGGGGCGTATACTCATGGACAAAGCAAATGTTTGATCATAGTCTTGGTAGTGAAATTTATCATCTTTTGTGGGTTGGTCTTGGAATTTTTTTCTCCCTTGATGTTCTAGTTAGTGGGTTAATAAACTTTTGTTTTTCTTTTTTTTTCTGTGGCAGTGTATGGGAATCTGCCTTCTCAAAGTCAGCTAGCTGATTGGGAGTTTGCTGTTTCTCAGCATTCAGCTGTCCCACAAGGAGTATTGGTATATTTCTACTCTTTCCTCGCATGGATTATACTAGTGTATATTCCAAACCTTTTATCAAAATGTTAATATCTAACCAAAGAGGGATTTCGAAAAAGGTTTATTTTCAAGTGTTAGTTGTTTGTCTTGCTTGTAAACCATGCTTGTCAGGTCCATGAAAGGATACTGGATCTCTTTCAACTGCTACTGCATTATGTCTTAGTGTCTTACTTAACACTGTGAATTCCATGTATACATGGTGACTGACCATTTAACCACATAACACTAATAATATCAGAAGCAACATGTATGGTTGAACAAGGGTCATGTATTCTATTTCGAACTGTTGAGTATTTGGATATTTAATAATTGCACTAGTAAAAGAATCTTAATCCACATTTTAATAGCGTCTTCGACCTGAGATTATTTCTGAATGTTTCCGCAGGATATCATTCAGTCAATGCCTCATGATGCACACCCAATGGGTGTTCTCGTGAGTGCAATGAGTGCACTTTCCATCTTTCATCCTGATGCAAACCCTGCTCTTAGGGTAAGTTCTATAATCCTGTTTTCTTCATGTACTGTTAAGATGTCTATTTCTGAAAATTTTCATGCCGATGCGCTGTGCTTCATTTGTTTGTGTTCTTAATTTGACGGAAATTCCCATTGGGCGCAGGGCCAAGATATTTACAAGTCAAAACAAGTTCGTGATAAACAGATTGTTCGTATTCTTGGAAAGGTATTGTTATGCCTGTTGATTTGGTGTCTTAATGTATATACGGACTGTGCATTTGTTGCGTGACTGGAAAAAGGTTTCTACGTGTATATCAGTATATGTAATATAATATAACATGTTTGCAGGCTCCAACAATTGCAGCCGCTGCTTATTTGAGGATGGCAGGCAGGCCTCCTGTTCTTCCTTCTGGCAACCTTTCTTATGCAGAGAATTTTCTCTATATGTTGGATTCAATGTACACCACCATCTATCTTCCCTCTTGATCTGGCTAGGCACTTGAATTTGTTGAATTGTCCACTGGTTTAGGCAGTTTAGATCCGTTTCTAGCTTCGAACGTGTCTGTAACAGGATAGATTCTTTCATCTTTCATCGATTACAGGGGCAATAGGTCTTACAAGCCTAATCCTCGTCTGGCTCGAGTGCTGGACATCCTCTTCATACTGCATGCTGAACATGAAATGAACTGCTCTACTGCTGCTGCTCGGCATCTTGCCTCTAGGTACTTATCAATGGTTAGAGATTCATTGATTCTGCTGTGAGATATGTTTTAATCAGTATTGTGTTTCTCCAGTGGTGTTGATGTGTACACTGCTGTTGCTGGAGCTGTTGGAGCGCTTTATGGTCCACTTCATGGTGGTGCGAACGAGGCTGTGCTTAAGATGTTATCAGAGATTGGGACTGTTGAAAATATTCCAGAGTTCATCGTAGGCGTGAAGAACAGGTAACTCAATACCTAAGCACAGGATTATGTAAATTGTCATGAGTCATGCCACTGATGTTATATCTCTTTTTCATGTTCTCAGAAAGAGGAAGATGTCAGGTTTTGGACACCGTGTTTACAAAAACTACGACCCGAGAGCAACAGTCATCAAGAAATTGGCGGATGAAGTGTTCTCCATTGTTGGAAGGGATCCTCTGATCGAGGTACTTTTTAGATCCCTGCTCCTAGTAGATGTTTTGTACAATACCTTCTTGTGTATATAATGAATGTGGTTTTAAAAAAGATTTTGATGTGTGATGTTTTCAGGTAGCAATTGCTCTAGAGAAGGCGGCACTTTCTGATGAATATTTTGTTAAGAGAAAGCTTTACCCAAATGTTGATTTCTACTCTGGATTAATCTATAGGTAAGACGAATTGTAAGACATTAGCAATGAGTCATCCAACAAAATTCTTGATAATGAGTCAGTAATAATTAAGTTATTCCCCAAATCTTTTTTGTGTTGGTTGGTAATTTGAATTGTCGAAAACAGGGCAATGGGATTCCCACCAGAATTCTTCACAGTCCTATTCGCGGTCCCGCGTATGGCTGGATACTTGTCACACTGGCGTGAGTCGTTGGATGATCCTGACACTAAGATCATGAGACCCCAACAGGTAAATAAATACACTATATTCATAGACACATACACTTGTTTGATAGATCAGTGACTTCATTAAAAAAGTGTTTTGTTTGCCTCATTGCTCATTTGGATTGTTTGGCTGCACAGGCCTATACTGGAGTGTGGCTAAGGCATTACGAGCCGGTAAGAGAAAGAACGTTGTCAAGTGATTCGGATAAGTTGGGTCAAGTTTCGGTTTCGAATGCATCAAGAAGGCGTTTATCTGGATCTGCACTTTAATCTCAATCCCACACTAGAGACGAATAAAGAAAGAAACATAAGGGGTACCTCTGGGGCAAATCAGAGGGTCTTCTCAAAACTCTGTGGTTGTTGTCTTTCTCTTATAAATTAAACAAACACTCAATATTCAATAATCTACAGACTTACACATCCTA